AGCAAGAGCCTTGCTTTTTGTTTGAGTTTATTATGCAATTTGTTTGGTTTTTGCTCTTCTGTTGATTCCGTTTGATGGATTTATGTCGAGAGCATTTGACAAATTATAATGTCAGCCACATGCCTAAAATTTAGTATGGTCGCCTCGTGAATTGGCTAACTTGAGAGTACTTGGTCGGCGGAACTAGTTTAGCCATTTGTCAAATATTTGACAACTTCGTGACATCAAAATTTAATTATGTGTGCGGATGCAATGCGGCTGAGAGATTGCCACATCAAATTAAATGCCAATCTGGTATTAATTTCATTGATTGGCCGATTAAATTGCCTTAGCCGAAAATCATTCAATTTGTTTGGCACGAGATCCCCTTGCGCTTCCCATTCGATTGCTTTTAAATTTATGCGCCCGCTGAACTTGAACAAAGTCAACAGAGCTGCATAAATAAAAATGAAAATAAAATGGGGAAGCAAACAAACATCTTGAGCAAGACAATCCGAAATTAGCTATGATTTATTAAGTTAACCGGTCTGATCCCCATCAAGCGCTTCCTCCCTCGATTCTCCTTCCAAACGACATCTATGAGAATTGGGTCAAAATTAGCAACTCTTTAAGCCAATTTTGATGCGTTTTAAATGTGGGGGAATGGTGGGGATGCATGGGAACTGAGTTATGGGATTGGAAAAGTGCTGACAGGCTCTAAGACCTCTAGAAGAATGCATCATTGTGGAAAAAAACAGACAAAAGGTATTGCTGCATAGGAATGGATAAATTAACTTAATGAAATTGAAATTACAAAAACAATGTATGTATGTTTTTTCTTAATGAATATTCCCTTAAGGATGTTTTAACTAGTGGAATTACCTTAAAAGGTTTCCCGCACAAAGTTATGTCGAAATATCTTGAATGAATTTTTTTATGGAAAATACCTGTTGAAATACACCAAAAATATACATAAAAGTTTTGTTTGCGGGATTGACACAATTAATTAAAATTCTCCAACTGCATTTGAAGTTCGAGAGAATTCCCACTGCAACAATTTTGACACTACCCTTTGTCTTTTCCCTGACATTGCTCTCAAACAAAATTCAAATACCTTAAAAACAAAAACACAACGAAAAATTCCCCTGCAACTGTAAATTGTGTGAAAAATGGCAAGCAATTTTCTCACACACTAGGAGATACCGACAGTCATATGTTGATGGGCCAGACAATATGAAGATGTTTATAATATTATAATTAATTATTATTTTCTGAATGCTTCAAAGCCTCAAAGTCAAAGCAAAGTTCAATGCCAAAGCGAAAACAAACGCAGACCAAAACAAAAGCCAGCGACCAAAATACATTTTGAATGCAACTCCCAGCTGATAATGCTTAATTATATACACATAAAGCGCAACTCTGGCAAATCAAAAAAAAAAAAAAACAAGAACAATGGCCACAGAGAAGATGAACAAAATTGTAAAACGAAACCCAAAGATAATTCACACGGTTTGGAGCACTTGGGCAAAGGGCATGAAAAAGCGAGCAATAATCCCAATAAACTTCATTGAAAGCTTAGCAAACAAACTTAATGAATGTAATTAAGATTTTTAGATCCGACAACGATAGTGGCCTACTTACATACTTTATTTAACAGTCGATACAAATCGACAAGTCCTTGATAATCAAATCAAGCTCGCAGCTCAACTACTTGCTAAGCACAATTTTGTATTCTAAAGCTTACATTCTAAGGAAATTAAGCAACTTTAGGAAGTTCAGACACGAGGCAATACTATGCTAATTTGAGCTGGTTACGATCTAAGTGCAAAGATTGCAGTCGAAATACACTTTAAGGGCAAGCATGGCCAAGATTGACATCAAACAAGCAAATTATATTGCCAAAATAATTGCCACAATTAACCCAGCAATGCCGAGTGCCGAATCTATCGTAAAAGCACAGAAAAAATCAAAAGCAACAGTCATTAAGCCGCAGAGAGTATGCGGCAATTAAATGTTTATTCCCTCAAAATACCCTTACCGAAAAGGGTTCCTTACAAATTAAATACAAAGTATTGTAGTTGTAACATATATTCATTAAAGAAATTCAAGTCTTATGCTATTCCAAATATTAAATTTACTATTTGGATTTAAATTTTAAAATTGAAAAGCAATTCACTATCTAGAAAAAGATTGTCATTCCCAAAAAGGTTGTAGGTCAAGCCCTTATTTTAAATATTGCGTTTGAATAACAAAATAGCTTTCACCTTTTATTCAAGGGATTGACCATGCGTGTTCACTCTTGGGAAAAATAACAAATAAATTTGTTATACAATTGTGTAAATATTTGCTTCTCATGAGCCCCAATTACAGAGATCCCTTCAAAACCAGATGAACCACGACACTTGAATCTCAACGATTCCTAAGTGGAAGTTACCCATTTTGGGGCTTCACTTTCGACTTACAGTGAATATACCCCTTGAGTGATTGAGCCCTCGAATCTCCTTACTAACGTATTGATGTCTCATCTGGCATTCATTTTTCATCACATTTTGTTTACCCAACAATTTCAGTTCGCCGCAAAACAATTATCTCGAAAAAAAACGAGGCTGCTGGTTGTGAACTCATTTGCATATATATTTTTGCACAACAGCACAAACCAAAAAAAAAGCTTTATAAATATATAGATATATTTAAACTAAAGTAGCCCACATCAAGCTCAGCTCATAAACAAATTGATTAGCGTCTTTAGCGTTGCAGCAAGAGCAACCTCAGTAAATCCCACTCGGCACACAAATAATTGTTGATGGATCATGAATAAATTGATGTGATTTGATAGCGGAACAGAGCTGTTGCCAAGCACGGGGATCCAAAATCCCGGGCGTCATCCTTCCAAAGAGTTCGCAGTTGTGTGCTACCTGCTGGGACACACCTCTGTGGATGGGGTGATCTCTTCACACTCGGCACGTGTCGATTTAGTTTCTGCTCAAATAAATAATAAATCAATTAGCATGCTGAGTAATGCCAGCGCCCAGCCCTTGCCAATAATCTTCTTCACCTATCCAGATGGTGAACAAAGTATGTAAATGTATCAGCTTTTGTTAGCTTTTGTTCGAAGAAATCCGAATTAGGTTCAGCAAAATGCATAAATAACGCTTTTTACCTAACCAGAAGCTTAGGTTGGTTAAGAAAATAGAGTATTAATTACATATTTGCAAATTCATATTTTTTAATACTTGTACCTCAGTTCTAATTTTTAATTCTTCTTAATTTTCCAGATACATAACACCCGCAGCAGCGGCAACGGCAACAGCAACCACATCAACCTCAGCGGCTGGAGGAGTAGGTGGCACCAATCTGGCGGTTTACCCCACGGCCACCGCCCAGGTGTACCGCTCCAACAACGGACTGGACGTTCTGGACTGCGCTGGACTCGAGCATCACAACACGGTCTCCACATCCGGTAACTCGGGCAGCGGCTTCTCCCAGCGACTCAGGGAACTGGCTGCCTCCGCCGGACTGCTCTCCCTGAAGCCCCGCCAGCCCCTCAAGCCGGTGATAAAGACGCGTGGCTCCCCCGGACCGGAATTCCCCAAGAAGGTCACCTTTAGTGCCTTTGCCACCGTGCAGGTGGTGTGAAAGGGCGTGAACAGTGGGTCTATCATCTGTGGCATCTGTGCGGGCACAGAGCAAGGTAAGTTCTAAACACTAAAAACATTTAAGAAAGTTAATTCAAAAAAGTAATGAAAGAAATTCATTTTTAACAGAGCTACCTAGAAAATGATATTTAATTATTTTACAATATAAAAAAAATTAATTAATTAATGTTTTATATCATAATACTAATATACCTTCTTCTTCTCTTTTCTTTACAGTTTCATCTTGCACTTGTTAACCATTATTTGTTGTTGTTTTAATGTTTGTTGCTGTTGTTAAATGTTTAGCCAAAACTATGGAAACCATACTCGGAGAACAATTCCTTAAAATCTTAAAAAATAAAACTTGTTGTGCCATGAATGTGGCTTGAAATAAAAATGAAAACCATATAGAAAGGTTTAACGCACCCCATAGCTAAAGAAAATACCTCAAAGACCCCAAACCTTTATCTGTCTTCTTGTTCTTTTGACTATCTTAGTATATTTTTCTTTGGTAGACTGACTTATCAACAACTTTCTTTAAGTTCCTTTGGATTACCCTCTACTAAAACAGTATTTTCACATTTTTCCATCTTTCAATCACTATCCTCGAAAACACATCCGAAAACACGTTGTAAAATATAAAGACTATGAACGCAAAAATTCTAAATATTTTCTATAAAACTGTAAATATATATGAATTTTTGCTAATAACAAGTTAAACAGCAAATATAGTCATAAATATATGTATTCATATAATATGTAAGTCTGTTTTGTGTATGTGTATATATATATAAACCATGATTTTGCATTGATTATTTTATAGAGAAAGAAAAACACCTTTCGAATCCACACAAACCTTAAGCGAAACTGCTGTATATTGTATTTAAAGTATATTAAAAATATTATTTAAGCCTAATATTATGCATAATAAATAAAATATAAATAAAACCAAGTCAACAATTGTCTTTTTATTGGGAATTATAAATACTACAAGCTTTAAATTAACTTAATATAATTTAAGGGCTTGGCAAACGGGCCAAGGGCTTTACAAACGGCAAACTTAAATTATGAGTTTTAAAAGCCTATCTGAGGCAGGTCCTAAGAACTAATGCAGTAAATCGTCACAATTACCAAGAATTTTTTTCGAAGTAAATAAGAAATTATATAAAACAGAAAAAAAACCTGTTGACTATCTTGAATTCAAATTAAGGTTCCCGCCAAAATATAACATTTTCTGTAAAAGTTTACATTAGTGATGGGAGATTTAACATTAACAGTGTCCGGAAGCGGCATAACAGTTTTGCTAGTTATCGATACACGTCCATATCGATTGCGTTTGCCGAGATCCGGCAACGACAAAACATCGCATGCCTTTTGTCGATATACTCCCGCCATTCCCGCTCGAATCGATCTCCATCCCTGGTCATGAAATAAAGAAAATAGACTAAATTGCGGCACAACACGGGAGAATTTATTAAAATAAACCAGCTACAATGTCCGAATCCCCTTGTAAGTGGTCTCGTTATCATCCATACACATCGAATTTATTTGAACGATTTGTTTTCAGCTGGTCCGCGTGCCAAGCGCCAGCGAATAGACAAAAATGGTCGGTTCGCCGCCATGGAGCGACTGCGTCAGCTGAAGGGAACCAAGAACAAATGCCAGGTGGAGGACCAGGTGGACGATGTTTACGACGTAGTCGACGAGCGGGAGTACGCTAAGCGAGCGCGGGAGAAGTACGGCGACGATTGGATCGAAGAGGGTGAGTAAGGTTCTTCCGAAGCACCCATAACAAACTTGCTAATGCTGCATTGATGTTTAGTCTGTGTAGCTACAATAATGTTGAATTCCAAATTTTGGATTAAATAGGTTCAATATTAAAACTAATGTATTCATTTTATGTCAGATGGCACTGGCTACGCAGAAGATCATCGGGATTTCTTTGAGGACGAAGATGGTTACTCCGACGGTGAGGAGGAACCAAAGGATAAAAAGAAGAAAGGCGTAGCACCCAACGGCAAAAAGAGACCCCGGGAGGAAGAAAAACCCGCTAAGGGAAAAGCCTCTATCAAAAATCTCTTCAGTAATGCAGTGCCCAAGAAGGCGGATATCAAAAACAGTGTGAAGGACGATGATATTCTAGCTGATATTTTGGGTGAAATCAAAGAAGAGCCAGCAAATACGTCTGGAATAGCTGAAAAGGTTATAGCGCCGGCGAAAATTGCCGTTGCGTCGAGGAAATCGGATGCCGCCGCTGCCAAGGAATACATGAATAGTTTTCTCAAAAACATCAAAGTCCAGGAGCAGGAAAGAAAGAAAGCAGAGGCTAGTAGTGATCACGAGATGCTGGAGCGCATCCTGAAGCCCAAGGCACCAGTTCCAAATACAAAGGTGGCATTCTTCTCCACTCCATCGGATAAAAAAGAACCTGTGCCCGAGAAAACTTCAGAGAAAAAAGAAGCCGAAGATCCCTTTCCTGATAACGATATGGACTTCAGCTGCCTGGATGACGACGAAAACCAGTTCGATGTGGAGAAGGAGCAACCCAAGGAGAATGTTTCCGAAGCAAAAACCGAAGTGGAGAAGACACCCAAACCAAAAGTCATCGAAAAAGCAACTCCCAAAAAGGATTCAGCTCGTCCCGCAAAGGAAAGTGAACCTGAAGACATGAGCAAGTTGCTAAACAACTGGGAGTCCATCTGCCAAATGGACGATGACTTTGAGAAATCCGCTTTAACCACAGACCAGGATTTGCCAATCTCTTCCGATGAGCAACTGCGTTTCTGGTACTGGGAGGCCTGGGAGGATCCAATAAAGCTGCCCGGAGAAGTCTTCCTCTTCGGACGAACCGCTGATGGGAAATCCGTCTGCGTGCGGGTGCAAAACATTAATCGAGTTCTCTACCTGCTTCCCCGTCAATTTGTGAGTGTTAAATAAATATTTAAATTATAAACAATTACAAACACAAAAAAAAAATATTCTACCCTCTTCACTCTTTCAAGAAATTCATAAAAATTTGATAACTAAAATTAAAATATTAACTTAGTTTAACTTGACTTAACAACGACGTTTTTCCCATATCTTTTACAGCTTCTGGACCCAATTTCGAAAGAGCCCACCAAGCAGAAGGTAACTGTAGCAGATATCTACAAGGAGTTTGATAAGGAAGTGGCTAGCGAACTTAAGCTGGAATCCTTTCGGTCCCGCAAAGTCAGCAAGAATTTCGCCAACCACGCCATCGGTATTGACGTGCCTCAGACGTGTGATTACCTGGAGGTTCATTACGATGGAAAGAAACCATTGCCAACTTTAACGGCTGGCAAGAAATACAACACCATTGCGCATATTTTCGGGGCCACTACTAATGCCTTGGAGCGATTCCTGCTCGAACGCAAGATCAAAGGACCCTGCTGGCTGCAAGTGAGTGGATTCAAGGTCAACCCAGTTCCCATGAGTTGGTGTAAGTCGGAGGTCACCTTGTCGGAGCCCAAAAATGTCGAGCTGGTGCAAGATAAGGGTAAACCAGCGCCACCGCCTCCTCTAACACTGCTAGCACTCAATGTCCGCACCTCGATGAACCCCAAAACATCCAGAAACGAGATATGCATGATTTCGATGCTGACCCACAATAGTTTCCGCATCGATCGTCCTGCTCCACAGCCCGCTTTTAATCGTCACATGTGTGGCCTAACCCGTCCAGCCGTGGTTAGTTGGCCCTTGGACTTGAACTTCGAGATAGCCAAATATAAATCCACCAAAATATGCAAACACGATTCAGAGAGAGCCCTCCTGAGTTGGTTCTTAGCCCAGTACCAACAAATAGACGCAGATCTCATTGTTACCTTCGACGCCATGGATTGCCAGTTGAACGTTATTACAGATCAAATCGTGGCCTTGAAGATTCCCCAATGGTCACGAATGGGGCGTCTAAGGATGTCACAATCATTTGGTAAGCGTTTGCTGGATCATTTCGTGGGCAGAATGGTTTGTGACGTAAAGCGTTCAGCCGAGGAGTGCATAAGGGCTAGATCCTACGATCTTCAAACCCCTGTGCACGCAAGTACTGAAGCTTAACGAATCGGAGAGAATGGAGGTAAATGCTGATGACTTGCTAGAGATGTACGAAAAAGGAGCGAGCATCACAAAGCTTGTATCCTTAACCATGCAAGATAATTCCTACCTTCTAAGACTAATGTGCGAGCTAAACATCATGCCGTTGGCCTTGCAAATCACCAACATTTGTGGCAACACAATGACCAGGACCCTTCAAGGAGGTCGCTCCGAACGGAACGAGTTCTTGTTGCTGCACGCTTTCCACGAGAAGAATTACATAGTGCCGGATAAAAAGCCGCAATCAAAACGGATTGGAGATCTAGATGCAACGTTTTCTGCGGCAGAAGCTACTTTGCCAGCCAAAAGAAGGCAGCTTATGCTGGTGGCTTGGTGTTGGAACCCATGCGGGGTCTCTACGAAAAGTATGTTTTGCTTATGGATTTCAACTCGCTGTATCCAAGCATCATTCAGGAGTACAACATCTGCTTCACCACTGTCCAGCAGCCCGTAGATGCGGATGAGTTGGCCACTATTCCGGACTCCAAAGCAGAAGCAGGTATCTTACCCCTGCAACTAAAACGTTTGGTGGAGTCGCGAAAGGAGGTGAAGAAGCTGATGGCGACGCCTGATCTGTCGCCCGAACTTCAGATGCAGTACAACATTCGACAGATGGCTCTGAAGCTCACGGCCAACTCCATGTACGGTTGCTTGGGTTTCGCACATTCCCGGTTCTTTGCCCAGCACTTGGCTGCTTTGGTAACCCACAAGGGCAGAGAAATCCTCACAAACACCCAACAACTCGTGCAGAAGCTGAACTACGACGTGGTCTATGGTGACACAGATTCCCTGATGATCAACACCAATATAACAGATTACGATCAGGTGTACAAAATTGGTCACAGCATCAAGCAGAGTGTGAACAAGTTGTATAAGCAGCTGGAGCTGGATATTGATGGAGTCTTCGCCTGTTTGCTGTTGCTCAAAAAGAAGAAATATGCTGCTGTTAAGTTGAGCAAGGATTCCAAGGGCAACCTAAAGCGGGAGCAGGAGCACAAGGGCCTGGACATAGTTCGTCGCGATTGGTCTCAGCTGGCTGTGATGGTGGGAAAAGGTGTTCTCGAGGAAGTGCTCTCCGAGAAGCCCCTGGAGGATAAACTAGCTGCTGTGCACGCTCAGCTGGAGAAGGTCAAAAATCAAATAGCAGAGGATGCAGTGCCCCTTCCTCTGTATGTCATTACCAAGCAGCTGACTCGGGCACCCCAGGAGTACGCCAACAGTGGTTCACTGCCACACGTTCAAGTGGCACTACGCATGAACCGGGAACGCCAAAGGCGGTATAAGAAGGGCGATATGGTGGAGTATGTGATCTGTTTGGATGGCACCACAAATGCCGCCATGCAGCGAGCCTATCACTTGGACGAGCTCAAGAGCAGCGAGGATAAGAAGCTGCAGCTGGACACGAGTTACTACCTGGCACACCAGGTACATCCGGTGGTAACGCGCATGGTGGAGGTGCTCGAAGGAACCGACGCGGGTCGCATCGCTGACTGCCTCGGCATGGATCCCACCAAGTTCCGACAGAATGCACAGCGGTATGTACTTTAAATTATTAATTTATTTAAACCAATTAAGCTTGTTTTTTTTTCATAGAGCCCAGCGTGAGAACACCGAGCAGTCGGAGGGCGAGTCTCTCCTCAAGTCGACACTCCAGTTGTACCGCCTTTGTGAACCGTTCCGCTTCAAGTGTCCCGCCTGCAAAACAGAGCAGCTGATGGCCAGTGCGTACCGCCCGGGACCCAGCAACTCCCACATCTCTGTGCTTCAGCAATGTGCGAACGCAGAGTGCCAAACTGCACCGATTCAGTACCTGGCCAGTGTCCGCAATCAGCTGCAGCTTGTCATTCGGAGGCATGTGCAGCGGTTCTACAAGAATTGGATGGTTTGCGATCACCCGGACTGCAATTACAACACGCGCACCCAAACGATGAGGAAGGAGATGCGCCGGCCGCGGTGCCAAAAGTGCCGGAGCGGTAACCTGTTGCGCCAGTTTACGGAGCGGGACCTGTACAATCAGCTCTGCTACCTACGCTTCGTATTCGATCTTGGCAAGCAGCAACTGCAGCAAAAGCGTAAGTAAAACTATAAAATCTTTTCAAAGAAATTGTTTACTTAAATATAGTATTATAGGTAGACTGTATTTTGTAAAAACAATTTAAAGGTTCCCTCAAACAATTTCTAATTAATACATATTTTCGTATTGTAGCCACACTAACGCCGGAGCTGGAGCAGGCCTACCAGCTCCTCTACGAGACTGTGGACCAGCAGCTGCAGAGCTCCTCCTACGTGATCATCTCGTTGAACAAACTCTTTGGCCGCACCCTCGCCCTGATGGCCGTGCAACCGCACAAACCGAAGCTATACAACGAAATGATCGCCACTACTTTGGCAGATGTCGTCTAAGTGTTTAATTAACTAGCCTTTGTTATAAGTTCCATTAAAAATACTACAAAACAAGTAAAATAAGTTAGATGAGGTCACGTGACGAGGAACTTCTCTAGGGGAAAGTGTCGGAAGGATTCGTTGAAGATGTCCGTAAACGCTGTGCTGACCAGCTCGTTTATCATCGGCTTGATGAAGGGCAATCCCAGCTGCCACATGCTGTTGATAACTCCATCGGCCAGTTGGTTGAGCGGCTGTCCCTGCAGCAGATTCTCAATGTGCAGCTCCATTCCGCCGATGCGGTCCACCTCAACGTGCACCTTTATCAGCGAACCCGGTCCTCCAATTCGTCGCACGCTTGTGGTTTGACTGAGTGAGGAAAATTACAAATAGCTGTCAACTTGGGAGCAATGGAGTCACCAAAAGTTTAACTCACATCCAACAAAACACGTATGTTGGCAACTAATCTTGGGAAATAATGTGTGTAATACTCTGCTCACCTGTAGTCGTAGAGGGTGAGGTTCCAGTGGCCTTTACGGTTCATCGCTGTGCCCAGCATTTTGGCGGCGAACTCGTACTCGCCCTCCAAGCTCTTCTCGGGGAAATACTGGGCGTACACGATGCGCTGATCCTCGGGATCGGCATGGAACTTGGTCACCTCCGATCGCGCCCACCCGTACTCGGACACATTTCGCAAGATCAGCCGAAAGCTGCCCAGACCCTGTGAGTCGCCTCGCCGCAGCTCAACATAGGTACAGCGATGGGGGTCAAAGGGCTTGATGTTGTAGTCGGGGACACCTGTAGGAGTTGCACCATGATTGCTAGCTCGTAATTCAAATCTCACTCACCTGTCGTGAAGTAGGCTCTTAAATCGTTAAACACCTGCCGCATGCACTCGTTGAAATCCTCGTCGACCTTTTGGCAACGGCTCAACATGTGCCTCAGATCCGCATCCACATCGATTTGACTGGAGGCGCTCACCAGGTGAGTGGCTAAGTGAAAGATTCCCGCCAAGTAGACCAGATACATGAAACAGTTTGAGGGCCACTGTTGCGACATGATGGAGGCTTAGGTTTGGCAGCAATTGTTTGGCGTCTGCTAATTGCAAAGGTAAACGGTTTTAAGGTTTTTATTGTTTATGTGACTTTGCTCGCGTTGTGTTTATGTTTAGTTTTAAGCAAATTACCGTTTTTGTGGGCGTGAAGAGCCACTTGAGTTTTTGTTCAAATTGTCCTTGGTTTTGTCGTAGTCTGTTAAAAAAGTGAACCAATAAAAACAAAAAATTTGAAAAATATAAAACAAAATAAAATAAGTGAAGACCGGCAAAAGCAGCACTGTCAGTATAACTTCCTACAGAAAAATTTTAATAAAAACGGAATTTTATTGACGCTATTGGTGGCACAGGCAAAATTTTGTATTAAATAGCATTAGATGTTGTCTGCACAGGATTCTCTGCTAGGTTCTTGATTGTAGGCCGCACAGCCCACTCTGTATTTAAGCTCCCTCAAAATTTGATAAATTTAGAAAAAGCAACAAGAATGTAAACTTTGTTTGGGACACACAATAAAGATATTCGCTTTGTTATTCGGTTTTATGGTCTGGGGTTTCCGAAAAACACTTCCTGCCACTGAAGTTGACGGTGCTGTTATTTGTCCGGTTGTTCTGTTAAACATCCTTCAACTAAAGGTTGCTGCACCAATTATTTTGTTAAGAAATTAAAGACCTCCAAAACTTTGTAACGGAACAAGTAATTGCAAGTAATAGCTTGACTGCGCCAAAGGGGAAATTGCATTATACCACGAATTCTCCTGATACCAACATATCTAACGTTTCAGTTTAAAACATATTTTCCCGCTAATGTTTGTTTTGCTATAACGATTAAAAAATCATTCCTTCAGAATTTAGGTCCTACTGGACCAGACGATTTTGAGACTATTGTTTTTATCATAATTTTTTTTTCATTTTTCTCATTAAGGCTACGGAGACTATACATATATAGAAAAGCTGTCAAACTTAATCTCCACAGGCAAAGCCCTATTGCTGGAGTCCATTAAAATGATTCTTCATTTACAAATTTATTTTCATTTTTATCTGACCAGACTAGTAACCTTCCCACAACTTATTTATCATTTGCGTGACAACTGTCCGCGCAATATTAAGCATAATCATACGAGTACACAGCTTCTCTTCTTTTGTATGTACTATTCAAACAATCCATCTTCATGTAGTTAGTTTTGTAATCTTTTTGTTTACGGCCTGCACTTGACCCCTTTAGCTTAAGCGCACATACTATATTATGACCGTCTCAGTGCTGCATAAAAAGTACAAGAAAGAAAACTACAAACACAGGAAAATATGCGTTTGAGTTTTTCCACTAAAATGGTAAACGAAAGACTTGAATAAGGCACAAACTTGGGGGCGCGAACAACTTTTACATCTACTTAAACAGGCACTCATGCAACACGAAAACAACAACGTATGATAACGTTTGGCAATTGTTCAGTTTAGCGGTTGCAATTGCAGTGGCAACGTTGACCAATGGTCAGTTATTTAACGAAACATGTTAAAAACTTAGTTTCGTAAAACTTAGCAATCTTACAGTTTTACATTCACTTCTATGCTATTTACATTTATTTATTGAGCCAAATAAGAAATTCTGGAACTCGGGCAAACGATATGCAGAGGTGAATAAATATTCGAGAATTATTAATAACTTTACAGTTATGTGAGCCGAATACGCGACGTGAATCAGTCGAACTGCCGTAGCCAACTAAAACAACTTCAAGACACTGGACGAGACGAAACATAAACCCATAGCCGAAAAGAGCTTCCACCAAAAGTAGCAACAGCAGCCATAATAAAAAAAAGCCACACAAAATAGCAGGAGAATATTTGAAAGCCATGAAATGACCGGGTTCAAACGTGAGCTTTGTCAACTCGGCTATAGTTTGCCACCCTCTGGTCGCATTTCCTGATGTTTAGCTTTGAAAACAGAAACAAACTTGCCAAACAATCGTAAATTACTATTAAAATTCATTCAGAAATACGTTTAAAAGGGAGTAGAAGTTTTGGACTGGACAGGCCTCAACTAAGCGATACAACCTATAACAGCAAAATTATACCAAAATATATAATATTTATTTTTATCCTACGCCTAATAGTTTAAAAATTGAATACAGAAAAATTCTAATTTTTTACAATTTGTTTTTATTTCCTAAACTCACAATAAACTCGAAAATCAATACTTTTTTTTACCATTAAATAAAAAATACACCCACTATACCACTATACGCCAAGCAATAACCGATCATAGGTGAATGAAAAGTGATCTGAATTTAATTAGGCAAGCCCAAGTTTGCATATGGTTATTTTTATGTATCAAATCAAGTACTCATAGCAGCTCTCAAGTTCATTGAATTGATTAAATTGAGCTTCGTGATTGACAATCGTAACGATGGACAGAAAAGCTGCCGATATCAATGAGAAGAAGATTATGTGGACTGCTTTTTGCCAAATGGGCTTTACAAGGTTACAGCTTCGGTTGTTATGGCTGATTGCAATTTAATGAAAGGACAAGGTCAGCTCTTACAGAAATTCAAAACGGGGCTGAAAGATACTCCAGCACTTTGTAGTAATTTAATTGCTATAACAAAATGAGTTCATAAACTGGAAGTAGTGCTTTAATTCCAGTTTAAATAACTTATTTACTTACGTTGTTACAATTAAACTTTATAAGATCAACTAATTTTTAAAACATTGAAAGACCTTTACACATATTATTTTAATGGTTTTTTCATTAAAATATTTGACTAATTTAAGATTTATTTGTTTCTCCACTTGTATATATAGAAATTAAACATATCATAAATACTTAAAAAAATTAGGTTATATGAATTAATTCGTAAAATTAGATTTTTGTTATTAAGTTTAGTTTGAATTTTGGAATTTATTTTATAATTCGCTATTAAAAATGAATGTATGTTAGTTTTTTAAATAATTATTTGCTGGAAGCAGCTGAGAAGTACGTTTAATTTTAACCTGAGGAATTTTGCAAATCCGCATTTTTCCAATTGGTACGAAGAATAAACAAAAAATATGTCTTTATTTCAAATAAATCTGACAAAGATACGTTAATAAAATATTTCCCAGACCTTGGCAACTCTTTTCTTTAGGACTTTTGCAGCACTGGTGGAACAAAACACAGCTGGTTCCAAACAGCTGATTTCTTTTCCGCGACTCGGCATTTCACGTTTGTTTATAGTTTGTTTTTAGCTGCAAAATTTGCTTTATTAAACAATAAGCAATGGAGGTGGAGTTTAGCAAGGACAACTTTCTGCTGCCGGAGATGAAGTACGAATGTAAGTTCGATTTTAATTTGTAAAATGATTCACCTGTTGATTAAGTATTTCATCATATTTCAGACTTGGACCACACGGCGGATGTGCAGTGAGTAAGCATGTGGAGTAGGGTGGTTCATTATCTATCCTTATGAAATTTGGAAGATCGTTTTAGAAGTATTATTAGCGCTTGTACTATAAAGCTAAGAGACAACAAATCAGAGCATTTTATTAACTTAATTATCAATTAGTTGAGGTTACTTATTTTAGGAAATAGGAGCTTGATTTAATGTAGAATTCAAATATAATTTAACAAAAAATGTGTATTGAAAATATTATTATCAGATCGGTTTTTGGAATATAAACTACCAAACGGTTAATATTTGTATTATCTAACTAAGTTTAATAAGGGAATTAGGGTATTAATTTTTTAAAGAACTGTAGTTATACCAACATTTTTTGCATAGCATTTTACAGATAAAACTTACAAGAATTTACAAAAAAATAGTATTGACAAATAAAATTAACAATTTTAATTAGGAGATAATAATTTTATGTGAAATCAGAAACAAAATGCTGATCGTAAAAACGATTTTATCTTCTTAAACACATTTAGTTGACTTTGGTGTTTTGCATTAACTTCAAAATAAAAACATATTTTTCTAGTGAAACGCACATACAAAATTATAGTTTCCAAAGCTACGGTTTGAAACTTAAAATACATTTCATTACCTACACATTTATCATAACCAATACTCAATGAATATAAATTTTCTTACAATGCTGCATTTTAGTTTTTCCACTAACTTTCTCCCATTTTGACAGAATCCACGGCTGGGGGACGAGTCTAAAGGAGGCGTTCGAGCAGTGCGGAGTGGCCATGTTCGGATATATGACCGAGCTAGATTACGTGTCTGTGGAGCAATGCTTCGAGATCGAAGCCCAAGGTGACGATCTGGAGGGACTTCTCTTCCACTTTCTTGACGAGCTGCTGTTCCTCTTCTCTGCCGAACCATATTTGGTGTGCAAAAAGCTGGAAATTACAAAGTTTGACTTGGAAACCTTCGAGATCTCATGTCGCTGTTACGGGGAACCCTTCGAGCTGGGAAAACATCCGCAGGGAACTGAGGTGAAGGCAATAACATACTCCGCCATGCAAATCGTTCAGGACGCGGAGGCCAGCAACTACGAGGTGTTTGTCATAATTGACATTTGAGCCAGCTCCGATTGCCGGGAATTAAATGTGACTGTTCCGTTTCAACCCCTTTGCCTGTCTCCATTAATCATAAGTAAAATGCCAAAAAAAAACACATAAAACCGCTGCATAAGCCCCGAAAATTTGCAATCTCTCGTGCTGCGACTGCATCCCCTCCCGATAAGGATGACTTATCAAGAAACCACTCGATTGTGCGGCTGAAAATGCAATTAGGTCTGGCTCCCTTCTCACCGGAATGATTTCAGAATCAAGATTTACCCTTTTGCATCTTGGTTTTTTGTGTACTATTTATTTTTTTTCACTCACGGCTTTGTGAAATGGCAACGTGTTGAACTCCCAGACAAGCGTCGAATTTGTTGTCCTTTCCCAGACCAAAGTTCAATGGACTTTTTATTTGGACAGCCTTCAGTACGTTGCACAAAATGCTTAAATTAAGATCTTTTAACAAAAACTAGTTTTTATGATATTTTTCGATTGAGTTATGCTTTAACTAAAATCAAATTATATCATTGAACTGAAAATGTAATAGCCGAAAGTCTTGAACTGCAAATAAGTAAGCGAGAACATATTTATTTGCTCCCCCAGATATGCATATTTCCAAACAGGCTTAGTTTTTTTTGGAACGCAAACCTTAGAACCACCCCTCTAGCGCAAAATGTTAATATTTTATTTTACGAACTGCCCTAATTTTGTCCATGATAGTGATAAGGATGGAACTCCACCCTCTATTGCGTCCAAAAGCAAATAAATTCCAATGTTGGGGACCCCGAGCCACAGCGAATAAAAATTCTTTTACAGAAGCTTATAACTACATTTCCTGTGGTCAGGTCATTGAAATCCTACCTATTTTTGCTAGGAAAATTAAGATTCAAATCAAGAAAACATCTCCGAAAACCGTAAAAAGTCTTAGCATATCACATTTTATTTTAAGCACACTATACATTTCAACCAGCAAACAGTTTTTTAAAATTACGCGGTAGCGCTTACAGTTTGGTAGGAATTTGGTATTTTTAGGATGATTTTTCTTTAAGCACCGTAATATTTAGTGGGTGTTGGGCAACACCAGCTGGCAACACTGAACGATTTGTTTTGAAACAGCTGACCGCGCCGAAGTCAAAACGTAAACAACAAAAAAAACATTTGCCGGGCAACGTCGACCAACCATATGGGCGTGTGGGTGTGTGAGTGCGAATTTGTCTGTGTAATATTCCTTTGAATATCGGGCGAACGGCGAATTGGAAAATATTCGCAATAGGCGCGCGTATGTTTTAACAGCTGATTGATATTGAAAAAGCAACGCTGCGGTACGAAAGAGTGTGCAAAAGAACAAACAAAGTATGAAAGGCAAAGCACACACACACACAAACGTTGAGTTGTTCAATTTTGCTTTTGGCTTTTGAAGTGTGTCGAGGTTGGAGTGGTTAAAAACCCTGTGAAATCTGGAAAATCTAACTTAACTTCACGCAAATAATAGCAACTATTTTGCGATATTGAGAAAGAAGTGGGTGAAACGAACGTCATCAAGTGCCGCATTTCGCCCCCTGTTTGTTGTTGTGTTTGCTGTTGCTTTTCAATTCGCCGCCTCGTCTCTCCATCTCTCTTGCTCGCTCTCGCCGTCCCGAAAGAAGAGGAAGCAGCAGCCCGTAAGCACATTGTGCGCTAGTTTGTGCCGTTTTACACCCAGAAATAGTGAAGATATCGCACTGAAACCAATACCAATCGACAGGTGACGTTATTACCTGTAATTTGCGATCAAAAGCATTTTGCTATCCCACTTGGAACCCAGTGAAAAACGTGGCGGAAAAAATCCATACGAAGGCGGAACGGAAAAAATGTGGTAGGTGGTACTAGAAGTAGAGAATGTGACATGTGTGTGTGCCAGTGTGTGTGTGGGGTGCTGCGCTGGGCATTTTCTTTATACAAGGGGAGCTCGAAAAAAAACCAACTGTTTTTTGGGCGTGCGCCCCCAACTGCCGGCTAAAAAATATATAACAAAATTTCAAGCCGGTCCAGCTGACACAGCAGCTGCAACAAGAGGATGCCCGATAAGAGGGGGTGGGTGGTGGTGGAGCATCTTGACAAAAAAGAGGGGGGCTGATGATAATGCGCACTTTATATAATTGCAGCTACCTGTCAGCCATCTCTAATGGCGTGAGTTTCTTACTTTGTCTGTGTGGGTTGTTGGCTAACGGCTAACGAATTCCTGGCAGAATCCAATTCATGGGATTTGTGCGCTGACGTCACTCCAATTTCATTTGCAATCATTCTAATTTGATTTATCTCGAGTGTAAAGTCGCGTATGAGGACCAGTAACTCGTCCGCACAGTGGTCACTAGCAGATAATGAGTATACATTTATTTAGTTACAAATAGTGTTAGCAGAAAAACGGGAAATCAAAAAATAATTTTAACACAATAGTGAAAAAGTTTTTCGTGAAAAAAGTTTAAGCATTACCGTATAATATTAGCTTTTTCCAGCTTATAAAAATGTATTATACCAAACAGTAGTTCTTATCAGCAGTAGCTAAACACAAAAGTCAATTATTTTTACAGTCCTGAGAAAAAAAAAACTTCTAATGGGGTAATAATACTTTTATCAGATCCGATCTTTTTTATACTACATTTGCAAGCGAACACTGTATATTTTATATATAAGCATGTTGCATGCGCCGGAAACTTTTGCCCATGGGGACTCGAAATCTTTGATAAGTTTTTAATTTGGGGCACAAAAGCTCAATGAAACTTTGGGATGCTGTGACTTTGCACGTGATCAGCAGAGACTGGAGTGGAAAATGTTGAACAGGGTGTGGTTCTATTTTTGCCAGAGTTGTGAAACATTACCATCTAAAAACTGGCACATGATGGCTACACGACCTTATCAGCGTATCAATTAACCCAGATATGGGAACACGGAACTTGGTTTTTCGGGTGATAAGACCTAGGTTCCAACTTTCACCGATAAAAGCAGGCGTTTGAATTGCAGGAGTTCCCAGGAAGAAATGCAATCGTCTGGGTCAGCTTTTGGCGACGTCATAGTTTGATGACCTCCACACGCTCACACCCAAATGCCCACCAATACTCTGGCCATTATGCACGTTCGTATAAACATGCTCCAAAAGAGGCAATGGCGGCCATCGAAGACGACGCTGTCTCATGGCTTTTTCTCCATCTCCATGTATTGGGCGACGTTATTTCTCGAGTCTGCAGTTTTTATTTTTCTCTTTTTCCATTTTTTGCTTTGTATTTTTTTTTATTTTTGTATTTGGTTACTTTGATTTCGCTTGGCCTTCGGGCGCAGTCTTGGTCTTTTGGTCGGGTCTTTTGTGAACCAGTTGCTCTAAGCGCCTCTGTTACCTGTTCGCCCCTGTTTGGTATACACATCGTTTTGTGCCGCCATAGTTTCCACCAAATTCAATATATCTTTACGGAAGCAGTGATTTGTACACTCCGTTTTGTTTTCCCATGTCGCCGAAGAAAACTAATCTCTCTATAAATGCACTTGTGACACAAACAGCTTTGATTTGAGCTCGTATTTTTATCTGCTGTTTCGGCGATAAGACCCTCAAAAATTGTGGAATTGAGGTCATTCTTAGTTATGTTTTATTACATGGAAGAAAGATTTCTAACAGAGCCCTCGTTTTAAATTTTTAGTGACTCAAAATCACTGAATTACTCACTATTTATATTCGGCTTTCATGCCCACTTGCCATTTTTAACGTGCTTTGCTTAATTGATTACAGTTGTTATAACCTAAATCTCAAGATCATTTGTGTAGGCTTCTTGACAACGTACTTTACTGCCAAATTGATATAAAATGACAAATCTATTTTAAATACGGGTCAATTTTTTTGGCTTTGTAATAACCCTATACAACTGTATAAAAATCTTATTTGAGCTGAAGGTATTTGATAATTTTTGATAAGCTTGACGAAAAATAAATATTAAAATCTTTTTATAATTCGCCGGTCTTAAGCTTCCACGTTTAGACCGTCTGGCAACTCCGACCTGAAGCTAATCAAGTGGCTTATACAATCACCCTCAAAAAAAAATTATCACGCACACCACGTCCAAGATCAAATAAAATTGGCGCACTTGCTCCAAGCAATATATACAGAGATTTTAGGACAGGCTAACACTTTTCATAATATATTAAACACTCGAATTCCATTTTTTATTGTGGTCTGCCCGCTTTGGGTCATCGCTTGCCCGGCGATCGTATCGTGTTTGTTTTTATCATGTGCTGCCTTATTTCTTTTTTATATATTTTCGAGTGACTGTGTGTGTATTAAGTTGTTGTTGCACTTTTATAACAGACCAAATGAGGGGCCACATGAGGAGGCATGTCTCCATGCCAGACACACACGCCCGCTGGCATAAAATACTTAAGCGAAACGAGTTAAAAGCGATTTCATTAATATGCTTTTGTTGCTGATTCCCTCCGCTTGATGTGTTGTTAGTGTGCTGACCGCTGCTGTGCTTGTTGCTTTTATTTAATCTCTGCCCTTGCCTTCTGATACCCTTTGCTTTAATTAGAGTGCGAAATAGCAATAAGTATTTAGTGATCTTTTATTGCGCATAGGGTTAGCAATTGACGCCAATACAACTTTTTACCAATTGTCAATTGGTACTGCACAACAAACGAATGACCTTTAATGTGTTAACTTTGCTACGAAGAAGTAAGAAAATTCAAGCAGTTTTGTTGACTTAAAAACAATTCATAAATAAAAAATTGCTAAATTTATTTCCTATGCAAACACTTCGAAAATAGGGTATTGCTAAAGAAATAAAATTCTTTCAAAAATGTAAGCACTACGAGTATGTCTTCATGTTTTTAACCCGGAAGTATTATGATGTATTATTTTGAAATTATGTTTCTTAAAGTACATAGTTTTAAATTTAATACTAAGAAACCTTTTTTTACTAAAGCATGTCATAAAATGCGCCTTTAATGTCATTTAAGCAAACTTTCTACAAGGTGTTTAAAAAGCTTTGTATCTTTATTTTTAAAATCTTTTAATAGAAATATTTATCTGCAATATAATGTAGTCCCCTTAGAAAAAGTGTGTTAACATTCGTTATTGCTGACTCGGCCACTGACTTAATTTAATTTCGTCTTTTTTGTT